AGTGAACTGTTAGGGAAGCCTACCCTGGCCACCCAATTTAAAACATTAACCCTTTTTGGCTGGGTGCAGTGGCTCACACCTGTAATCCCAGCACTACGGGAGGCTGAGGTGGGTGGATCACTTGAGGTCAGGAGTTTGATACCAGCATGGACAACATGATGAAACCCCTGTTTCTACTAAAAATAACAAAAATTACCAGGGCGTGATAGCATGTGCACCTGTAATCCCAGCTATTGGGAGGCTGAGGCAGGAGAATCACTTGAACCTGGGAGGTGGAGGTTGCAGTGAGCTGAGATTGCACCATTATTGAACTCCAGACTGGGTGACAGAGCGGACTCCGTCTCCAAAAAAACAAAAACAAAACAAAAAACGTTACCCCTTTTCACTTGCTCTTCCCATCCTCATTTTTCTCCCATTAACATTGATCACCTTTGGAGCAACTGTCTAATTCACGCATCTATGACGTCTCCTGTGTGTCCCTCCTACGAGAAGAGGGAGCCTGGCAACATCACAGCAGCTCTGTGGAGCTCTCCCAGTTCCCTGGGTGGGTCCGTGCATGGAGGCCCCGGCCTCTGCCACCTCACAGGAACCAGTGATGGGCTGGGTAGACACCGGTAAGCTGCGTGTCCCCAAAGCTGGCATGCTGGGACCGTGGAGAGGAATAACACACCCCCAGGCAGCCACTCGGAGGGGCTTTTAAACAGGAGTGCACAGGACCACTGCGGACAATTCAGGTGCTCAGATAAATATCATCATGCCCGTCTGTGCACAACTGTGTATCCTCAGAGCATCAAATAAGAAACCTGGTCGGGCGTCGCGGCTCATGCCTGAAACCCAAGCACTTTGGGATCACTTGAGGTCAGGAGTTGCAGACACGGCTGGCCAACGTGGTAAAATCCTGTCTCTACTAAATAATAATAATAGGCTGGGTGCGGTGGCTCATGCCTGTAATCCCAGCACTTTGGGAGGCCGAGGCAGGTGGATCACGAGGTCAAGAGATCGAGACCATTCTGGTCAACATGGTGAAACCCCGTCTCTACTAAAAATACAAAAAAAAAAAAAAATTAGCTGGGCATGGTGGCACGTGCCTGTAATCCCAGCTACTCAGGAGGCTGAGGCGGGAGAATTGCCTGAACCCAGGAGACGGAGGTTGCGGTGAGCTGAGATTGCGCCATTGCACTCCAGCCTGGGTAACAAGAGCGAAACTCTGTCTCAAAAAAATAAAAATAAAAAATAATAAAACCAATTAGCCAGATGTGGTGGCGGACACCTATAATCCCAGCTACTTGGGAGGCCAATGCAGGAGAATCGCCTGAACCCAGGAGGCAGAGGTTGCAGCAAGCTGAGATCGTGCCATTGCACTCCAGCCTGGACGACAGGGCCAGACTCCATCTCAAAAACAAAACAAAACGAAAGAAAAACAAATAAGGAGCCGGGCACAGTGGCTCACACCTGTAATCCCAGCCCTTTGGGAGGCCAAGGTGGGCGGATCACTTGAGGTCAGGAGTTCAGGACCAGCCTGGCCAACACAGTAAAACTCCATCTCTACGGAAAATACAAAAAATTATTTGTAGGGACATGGATGAACCTGGAAACCATCATTCTCAGCAAACTGACACAAGAACAGAAAATCAAACACCGCATGTTCTCACTCATAGGCGGGTGTTGAACAATGAGAACACATGGGCACAGGGAGGGGAGCATCGCACACTGGGGTCTGTCGGAGGGAAATAGGGGAGGGACAGCGGGGGGTGGGGAGTTGGGGAGAGACACCAGATATAGGTGATGGGGAGGAAGGCAGCAAATCACACTGCCATGTGTGTACCTATGCAACAATCTCCCATATTCTTCACATGTACCCCAAAACCTAAAATGCAATAATAAAAAAAAAATACAAAAAATTAGCCAGGCGTCATGGCATGTGCCTCTGATCCCAGTCACTCGGGAAGCTGAGGCAGGAGAACTGCTTGAACTCAGGAGACACAGGTTGCAGTGAGCCGAGATCGTGCCACTGCACTCCAGCCAAGGGAACAGAGACTCTGTCTCAAACAAAACAACAGCAAAGAACACAGTTCTGTTCAGGCCCATTTAGCGGCAGGGAAGGGAGGAAGCCCAAGGCTGAGCCATTTGATTGGAATGGGGGCGGCGCTCAATTGCAGTCAGACCATGAAATCTCACTCTTTTTCTGCCTCCGAAGCTGGTCTTGAAAAACCAGGTGCAACTGCAGTTTTGTTAATTAACTCTCACTTTAGAAGCACTTGGGGAGGCCGGGCACGGTGGCTCACTCCTATAATCCCAGCACTCTGGGAGGGCCAGGTGGGTGGATCTCCTGAGCTCAGGAGTTCAAGACCAGCCTAGACAACATGGTGAAACCCTGTCTCTACAAAAAACTAGACAGGCGTGGTGGTGCACACGTGTGGTCCCGGTACTTGGGAGGCTGAGGTAGGAGGGTTGCTTACCTCTGGGAGGAGGAGGTTATAGTGAGCCAAGATTGAGCCACTGCACTCCAGCCTGGGTGACAGCCTGAGACCCCATCTCAAAAAGACTTTCTGAGGAAAAAGAGTTTGAGCTAAGTGATTTTTTTTTTAAAATAACATTTATTTATTTATTTATTTTTTAGATTCGGGGTTTTGCTCTGTTGCCCAGGCTGAAGTGCAGTGGTGCCATCAAAGCTCACTGCAGGCCGGGCGCGGTGGCTCAAGCCTGTAATCCCAGCACTTTGGGAGGCCGAGGCGGGTGGATCACGAGGTCAAGAGATCGAGACCATCCTGGTCAACATGGTGAAACCCCGTCTCTACTAAAAATACAAAAAAAATTAGCTGGGCATGGTGGCGCGTGCCTGTAATCCCAGCTACTTGGGAGGCTGAGGCAGGAGAATTGCCTGAACCCAGGAGGCGGAGATTGCGGTGAGCCAAGATCGCGCCATTGCACTCCAGCCTGGGTAACAAGAGGGAAACAACGTCTCAAAAAACAAAAAAACAAAAAAACTCACTGCAGCCTTGAACTCCTGGGCACAAGCAATCCTCCTGCCTCATTCTCCAGAGTAGCTGGGACTACAGGTGCATGCCACCACACCCAGCTAACTTTTTATTTTTTGTAGAGATGGGGTCTCACTATGTTGCCCAGGCTGGTCTCAAACTCCTGGGCTCAAGCAATCCTCCTGCCTTGACCTCCCAAGTCAAGTGGTAGGCTTGGAATGACAGAAAATGAGCCACTGTGCACAGCTGTCCCTCCTTTCCTCCCTCCCTCCCTCTCTTTCTTTCCCTTTCCCTCCCTTCTTTCCTTCTCCTTCCTTCCTTCCCCTCTTTCTTTGCTTTCTTTCTTTCCTTTTTTCTTCCTTTAAAAACTTTTTTTTTTTAAAAGACAGGGTTTCACCATGTTGGTCAGGCTGGTCTTGAACTCCTGACCTCAAGTGATCCGCCCGCCTTGGCCTCCAAAGTGCTCGGATTACAGGCGTGAGCTACCACGCCCGGCCTCTTCCTTTTTCTTTTTTTTTTTTTTTAACATTTCTCATCTTAATTTAATTAGCAGATCTTTAAATACGTGGGGGTATACTTAAACTAGCAAACGGGAAAACTAACCATGTTAGACTTAAGCCTGTCAAACATCAAACTGGCAGAGCTCCTAGCTTTTGTTTTTTTTCCTTGAGACTGAGTTTTGCTCTTGTCACCCGGGCTGGAGGGCAGTGGCACAATCTCGGCTCATTGCAACCTCCGCCTCTCGGGTTCAAGCGATTCTCCTCCCTTAGCATCCTATCTGGGATTACAGGTGCATGCCACCATGCCTGGCTAATTTTTGTATTTTTAGTAGAGACTGGGTTTCACCATGTTGGTCAGCCTGGTCTTGAACTCCTGACCTCAAGTGATCTGCCCATCTGAGCCTCCCACCTCAGCCTCCCAAAGTTCTGGGATTACGGGTGTGAGCCACCGTAACTGGCCAGCTCTTAGGGTTTTATGCAGTTCCCTCCTGTCTGAGGGGGCCGGCATTTGGGGCAACTCTCGAGGCATTTGGCCCTGGGTGGCTGCATTCAACGCGGGGCTGCCGAGGGCACCTGGCACTGGGAGGTGTCTCTATCCCATGCTCTGGGTTCTCCCACTGGAGGAAGGATTGAATCCAGTTTAATTCAGAGAGAGGCTTTCACTTCTGTATCATACGTGGGCGTTTCACAATCTGAAATCTCCAAATTAATACATGACCAAGTCATTCCCCACTTCCACTAGACACAAGTTGCGTGGAGGACGGTTCTTTCCCAACCCAGCAGGTCTCAAGACGAGCAACAGCCTCCGAGTCACAACTGCATGGAGAAGCCTACCAGCCACCTCTGCAGGGCTCTCCCCTCAATGTCCAGCCTGAGAGACGTGTAGAAAGAGACGCTTCTCAGTAGCCCCGGTGTCCCATTCGCCTCTTCCCGCCCACTCGCAAGCATTAGCTGGTGCCCCTTAGGAGTCAGGGGCACAGTGAGAGCCCCACACAGAAGGCTGAGGCCAGGCCATGGACCTGCTGTGGGCCACCCGGCAGAGGTGCCTGGCTGCACTCCTGGTCACCCGAGTGCCATCGATTGGGGCCGCCACCACCAGCCCAGTGCCGCACCAGTGCTGGCCACCATTCCTGGTCCCCCACAGCAAGCCTGTGTGACAGGCCATGGTGCCTCCATTTCACAGACAGGGAAGCAGACGCCAGGGAGGGTAAGGGCTTGGGTCAAGGGTAGGCAGACAGAGCTGGTGACAACAGCAAGTAGGAACGCAGGCCCCAGTGGAGCCCTTCCTCTGAGCGAATGCAGACCCCAGGAGATCGGTGCCTGAGATCCCCACGCATCCCAGAGCCACGTGGCTTTCTGTGTGTGTGCCCGGAAGCCACACGCCAGAGGACGCACAGATAGGCGTGCAGGGAGGGTGACCTCGGGAACCGCGATTCTCGGGGTGCCCTTTGGACCCAGAATGACAGTGTTTGCTGCTTGTCCTCAGGCCAGAGCACTTTAAATAAAAACAACCCACGCGTTCTTGTGTTTGTATAAAAGATATTTACTTCAATTATCACACCTAGGGTGCTAGTGAATAGTAATACATGGTGTGAGTTTCATACAGTGATATTGCTTCTCCGTATTATATAGGGACCGTTGTTCAGTGCTGAGAACAAACATTGCATGGCTAACCAAAGACAGAGGGACAACACCGAGGGGCCGACGGGTGCCTCCCCCACCCCCGCGCCAGCCAGTTCAACTTTGACTCTTAATGTAGAAAAACAAATAGCGAGAAAGAAAATGTTATCAGAGAGAAGTCACACAGCAACACAACAGAGGCATCTCAAAGCGATTTGTACAAAAAAAAAAAAAAAAAAAAGACGCCTTTTTTTTTCTCTTTTTTCTTTTTTTGGTCAATTGGGTCTCTGCGAGGATTCGAGGAAAAAAAATCTGTGATTGTGAGGATGAACAAAGACGCTTGAGAAAGAGCTGAGACTTGGTGCGTTACAGAAAATATCAATACTGCTAAAACGTAAGACGTGACGAAACACGGGAGCGGGGGTGGGGCGGGGGAGCTGAGCTTATGAAGAGTTTTCCGGAAGATTCCGCCACCCTGCGAGTGCGTCTTGTGCTGACAGTAGTCTGGGCAGAAGCGTGGTGCTGCCCGCTCTCAAGGCAAGCAGCAAAGGGTTATTGCACAAACGCAAAGAACTGGGTCCTCTCATTCCATGGAAAGGGATGTGGGGGAAACCACCTTCTTCCTCCCCCCACTTTTACTTTTATAACAAGCTATCTCCAATGCTGTAAGAAACTGGGGTGAATTCTCACGTCTCCAAAATGCATGGCATTTTTCCCCCCAAGAGGTCTCAGATAGGGGAGGGGGACATGAGACGCCCGTTTTCTCAAGGGAAGAGGCAGAAGATGGCTAGAGAGAGAGAAATGCATAGAGTAATTAGAGAAAAATGAAAAAAAGAGAAAGCTTTCTGGGGAGATGGAGACCTTTGTTTCCGTAGAGGGTTTCTTTCAAAGAGAGAACAAAGTCAGGACCCCCCGGCGATTTTGGAGAAGGGGAGGTGACGGCCTGGAAAGAGGTGCCCCGCCCAGCTTCTCCTGCAGGTAAGCAGCGCCCTTGCCTTGGCCTGGGGGAAGGTTCCTTCTGCTGGGCCGGTGGGCTCCAGGCAGGCCATGTCACCTTCACACCCCATTGGCGAGCAACTGGGTGTCCTGCTTGGGGCCACTGCAAGCAATCTCCACACCCAACCGTCCTCCACACTGAACCACCTATGGGGGAAAGGGGCCCTGTGCCCGTGACCTCCTAGGTGAGCCCTCAAGCCACAGCTGGTACCACGGAACACTGTTGCTTTGAGAGATGGTTTTGACCAACTTTGTATGCGAGAAAACAACAACAATAAAACCAACCGAAACAGACCGACCCGCGCGGGCCTTGCCAGAAATCCCTCTCTCGCTGGGAGGTGACCTCTCGACCGGGCCACTGCGCCCTCTCTGAACTGGGCTGGCCGAAACTTCATGAACCCAGAAGTCTTACCAGAGGCTCTAGGAGGCTTTGGGGAACTGAACTTGGTTTTTCTAAGACTCCTCTGAAGCTCAGGAGAGTATCCTTCCACTCAGCACTCCCTTTACATGTTGGTAGGTTTTTGTTCATATTCTCGTTTAAAAAATTAGACACATAGAGACCGCCAGTTTTTGAGCGGCTACTCTGGAGACAGGTGTTTGATTTTACTGGGGAAACCCCCTCTGTCCCCCAGTCAGTCCCCCAGATGCCTTGGTTCTCTGGGGGGGGATGGGGAGGAGAGGAAGGCAGAGGACAGTAACCACTAGAGTGACAGCAAAAAGCATTTATGACAACAAAACACAAAATAACAATACACTCCTGATAAGTACTTAAATGATTAACCTAATAATAAATAGAAGAGGATAGAAATAATTTTTTTTTTCTCAAGGAAACATCCTTTTATAATCACCCTCACGCACGCCGGCAGGTCAGTAGCAGTCAGTCCATTTCAACAAGACAAGGTTAAGTGCTGGAAGGGACGGCTGTGGCCTCAGACACTGGGGAAGGCTCTGAGCTTCTGAATCACCGACACGCGCCATCCTGCCTCGCCAGGCCAGCGGCTCTGGCTAGAGCCTGTGGGCCCCGCACGCCCAGCTCAGTGGTCACCAAGAGGCAGACTGGGAGACTGGAAGGGGTGGGGGAGGCCTGTTTTCCCTTCGGTTTATGAACAAACAGAACTACAGTGAACAAACCCATTCATAACCTGAATCGTCCTGGTCTAAAGCTTACTTTGAGTTCATTTGGTGTGCAATATGTTACTTATTTTTTTTTAAAGAAGAAAAATGATTTCAATTGCACAGAGCTTTTACACATAGTCATCTATTTAAGTGCTTTCTGTTTAAAGCAAACCACAAAAAAAAAAAGGTGTGGGGGAAGGGATTATAAAACGAAAGCAGCTCCGTGCCACTTCAATGTGTCTTGCTGAACGGTGTCTTGTTTCACCAGCAGAAGTCCCAATGCTTCCGTACACACTGTGCTTCTGATTAATTTCCATAGGGATGTAGCCGTGACATTGGGATATAAGGCACCTTTCCTTTCTGATTACAGAAAGCTTGATACATAGCATATAGCATATTTTTGTGGTACGAATTAAAGCCTAACACTACAGAAATTACAGTAACGCAGACTAATGCTTTCTTAACATTACTGGGTAAACTAAAAGGACTCATGAAAAGCAACTCAAAGGCATCTTAAGAGTTTAAGAATGGGGTGGGGTGGGGAAGTGCACATTTATACATGGCCAAATGTCTTTCTCTCTTTCAGCCTTTTTTTTTTTCAGGATTTTTCGCCTACAATGCCCAACTTTTAAAGTTAGCATTTTGGAGGAGTCTAGGCGCTTTGGAAATGTCTCGTTAAAGCTAAATGTCACTTCATCCAAAAATGAAAACTCGAGATGATGCCATGGATGGCGTGGACACGGTTATCTTTGGAGGGGAGGTGGTGGTAGGAGAGGCCTGGGAAGGAGGGGGCCATTTTTGGAAGTTGGGGAGACAGGAGGAAATTGCATTTCCTTCTACTCCGTTGACCTGGCGGGGAGGTGCACAGGCTGCTGGGGCCTCTGGGATGGGGAAGACTGGGCTGGGGGGCTGGAAGTAGGGTGGGGCTGTTTACGCTCTGCTACCCACACCCACTCCTCTTCTGTCCCGATTAAGCCTAGGGGTTGTGGACTTAACTACAGCCCATCTCTAAGGGTTTCCTAGACTTTATTGGGCACTTGCTTTCTCTTTTCCCTTGTAGTTTTCATCTACAAAAAGTCAAAACCTGATGGAAATAGAAATAAAATCGTCAGACTGGACCATTCCCTTAGCGTTTGAGTGTGCTGGCCACACTGGCCTTCAGTACACGCTGAGATCCAACCACGTCACCCTGGCCTCAGGTCACCACCTTGCCACTCAGGGCATAAGCCCTACCCTCGTGGTCACAAAGGCGTCCCTAATGTCATCGATGCCCGGGTGAAACCACAGAAGCCCTGGGGGTGGAGGGGGGGGTTTCTAAATGTCAGCTTTGGCTGGTCCCTGCCCACGCACAGGATGCTGTCCCAATCCCTAGGCCTTCCTTGCAAATTCTCTCCAGCAGGGGAACACTTTGGCCCCCCCAGACTGGACAGACTCACATCCAACCAGCGGCCCAGGAGCTGGTTTTCTTCGGTGCTGGATGGGAACTGGCCTATTCTTTTGAGATAAGAGGGCGATGCAAGGCTGGAGGAAGCCATCTATCCTTTTCCGCCTTTGAGATGTTTGCTGTTTTAAAGGAGCGTTCGCAGTGACAGAGAGCATGCCAGAGACAACAGACGCCCAAGAGCTACAGCACTCCCCGAAGCCAGCTGGGAATCTTGGGACGTGTCCTCATGTGGCCACACTGCGGCAGCCCGGGGCAAGGAAAATGGCCATGATGGATCCAAACAGCTGAACAGGAGTGGGCAGAAAGAACAGGCGCACAAAAGACAAGACCCTCGGAGGCCCAAGACCATGGGCTGCCTGCAAATGAAACAGCTGCTGGAGCTTCAGGAACAGGTGGAAATCAAGAGAGAAATCCATGCGTCTTACAGGGCACAGCTGTCTGTCTGTTGCACTCACAAAGGGAGAGACATACAAGCCGGCCCGCCGGCAGAGGGATGCTCCTGTCGGCCCCACTGGTAGCTTTTCCGCCCCCTCCAGCCCACCTGCCTCACAGTTCTGCGGGGCGTGGTTCTGGGTGATATCAGAGGGAGAACAAAGGTTAGTGAGGTAGAAGGGACAGTGAGGAGTGTGAAGAGGGAGGACATCCGGGTAGGGACAGGGCCTCCTGGGCAGCAGAGGAGCCAAACCTCCAGCCTAAAGTACTGCAGCCAACAGCCCAGCCCAGCATGCTCACCGCACGTGCCTGTGTTGCTCCATTTCTCCCGGTACAAGTTGGGATGAGTAAGATCTATGGACTTTTGTTTTTCCTGGCCTGCCAAGAAGTGGCTGTCATAGTGCATTTAAGGCAAAGGCTGTCGTCCCTCGGTTCAAAATCCTGTAAGTCACTATCTCTTGCTTTTCTTTGTGTGACTTCCAGAAGGACGCGTGTCTGTTCCCCCGCTCTATTTTTCAGTGAGATTTACTTTGCTAAAATCAGAAGAATGAAAAACATTGCATAGAGTCAACGGATCACCCCTGTATCAGAGGACATGCGTGCAGGGGCAAAGCTGTCCGGTCCGACCTTCGTTGAGAAGGCACCTGCCCGTGACAGAGCTCACCTGGGGACTCTGGTTCCCCTTTTTTAGGGCCTGGCTGTGGCATGATCTTAAAGTAGTCAGTCAAGGCCCACAGTGCTCTCTCCGAATTAGAGTACAGCCTGCGTAAACTGGCCATGAGCTGCACACTTGATGTTGGCCCTGGCCAAGGAGAGAGATGGGGTATGAGAGCTGGCCACCTGGGCTTGGGCAGTGGCCAGAAAGAAACATTTAACCCAGAGCTCGGCTGCACTCTGGGCCGAGCAAACCTGAACGTCCACATCAGACAGGATGGTTTGTCAATGGGAAGAAAACAAAGATGCTGACAGGAAGAAAACTGAGCAGGGAGGCATTTGTACTTTGGAGGTACAAGGGATCTGCCCCAAGGAGGCTGTCAGCTGGTATCTTTTGCCTCAATTACTTGCATAGACAAAGTAGCATGGTTTGATGGTGGGTGCCTACGAGCCAGGATCCTGGCATTTCTGAGTTCTCCCAAGCACGCATCCCTGGGCTGTCTGCCCTGATCCTGCCCCAGGAGACGCTTAGAAGCTGCCTCATGCCAAGATGCCTCCTAAGATCGTCTAGAAGAATCTAGCTGAGCTGAGCTCCATGGCTCTGATAATCCTTTCTAAAGAGATGTCTGGTGGGCAGAAACCGCAGAGGTCTTCACGGATACAGAAGTTCAAGAGGAGGCTCCCTGGGGGCTGGGGGAGGAGGAGAGAAGCCTCCTCTGGGGTGGAAGTGAGTTGGGCACAGGTCTAGGACAGAACTCACACACCTGCCATCTTGGGTACCATAAGGGAGCTTGGGTGGGAATCCTGGGTCAAGAGGCTAAACGCAAACACTGATTTTATGCCGAGCCTCTGCTTAGCCAGCTAAGTTAATGGCAAAAGCCTTAAGTTATGAACACTGCCTCCAATTAACAAAAAGAATCCATTTAAAATGGCATAATGGAGCTTGTAATTAAGTGTTAGTGTTTTATATGGAACAGTTTCCCCCAGGGGAGAGGTACAAATCAGCTTTTTAAACTCACAGAGCGTGAAGAGGAAGGGGGTCGGCTGCCTGCGGGGGCCACTGCTTGGAACGCCAGCCTGCTGAAGGGGAGCCGCAACGAGCGAGCGGACACTGTTCAAGGCACTTGAATACTGCTTAGCAAGATGAGAGATGAACCCTTAGACTCCGACTGAGGGGCCCAACAGGAGGGAGGCGCTGCTTCCCTGGCCACAGATTGCTGTATTATTTTAGTGGCAGCTCTTCGAAGTATTACAGACAGTGCTAGCTTAACATCAAAGATCGTAAGGTCGGGATCTCCATGTTTGTTTTTAAAAATAAATAATAGAGGAAAAAAATACCCCAAACTGCAGGCAAAACGTAACCAACGGATTGTATCCGGCACCCAGATGTAAGCCTGGCAAAAAAAAAAAAAAAAAAAAAAAAAAGACAATGGGAACCAACAGTAACCTAGTTAAGAATTAAAAAGAGAAAAATAAAAAAGAGAAGACAACAAATGTGTAAATTGCTTGGGAGGCCAAAATGACTGCCTTTTACACTGTCAGTTTGGCCACTGGAATGGACAGATCCACATACTTGTCAATTTCCTCAGATTTAACACCTCTGTAAATAACAGTCATGCCTTTAAAACTAAGAGCCCTAGCCTACTGTTTCCTGTGAACTTCTTGCTTTCCATTCTCATGAAAATCAGATGATATTTAGAGATTCATCACCCGTGATGACAAAAGTCCCTTGAGGTTTCTGTGGAGACACCACAGTGGCCAGGGCTCCGCTACTCACTGTCCCGAGGGTCACTGGTGTGAGCTCTCTCCTCTCAGTGCACCTGAATTGAGCCAGATATTGACCTGTGTCCCCTTAAGCTCCTCCAATTTTGAATTCTCTTTTTCCTGAACCAGATTTCAAGTTCAGAAATGATACCCCCGTCAAAAGCCAAACAAGCGGCCTGCCTCCCAGCCCCCTAGAGCCTTCTGAACACTTCTTATTCATGAAAAGGCATTGTCTTTAGTGTAGTGACTCTCAAAAACTGGTGAAAACGTGAACTAAGTGCTGCAGCTGCAGGTTAAAAAGACTCTAAATGAAATAATCTCTAAAACATCATGCAAGAAACGTGGTTTCACATCTTACAAAGTCCTACAAGGTAATTAACAAGCACACGGAGGTGGAACAGCCAGAGCATACCTTTAAAATTATAACTCCCTCCCACCCCCCAAATTAAAAAAAAAGTAATATTAATTAAACTTAAGAAATAATGAATGCACCATTAAAATGTCATCCAAAGATGTTGACCTAAGACAAAGGTTTCAATGATACACAATACGGTCAAAAAGTTTTCAATCGGTAATATACAGTATGACAACTACATCTTGTAAATTATACCCAATACTGCCGGCAGTCTATCCCTCTAAAGAATATTTGCCCCTTTCATCCCTTCCTAACAATCAGATAATAAAATACAGCACCTATAAATAAGCAAAAAAAAATATATATATATACTGAAATCATCTATTGTTAGTTTAAAGATATGGCAATAAAGGAGTCTAAATTAGCAAACTTGTAGAAGCCATAACTGATAAAACAGCTTATTGAAAAAGGTGGCAGTAATGCACTCTACGTGTGCACAGGTAATTAAGAAAATACACAGACGTATAAAATTGCACACACGCACACGCACACACACTCTCATCCGCCTCTATTCTCACGCATATACACATAGACAAGGGAGGAGTCAGAGACAAGTTAGACTTTCAATGTGTACTTAGACTGCCCTAAAACTGTGCATAAAAGAACTTTCTAAGAGGCGAAATGAATGCAGGGCAAATGGTTGGTCTGGAAGTTGAGCATCCACGTTTTGGTGTGAATTTGGGCCATTTCTACAGGGATGGGAATGGGGAGCCCAGACTGCCACGTTCTCTCTCCCGCAGAGAAAGGAAGTTTCCCACGAGTTCAACAGGGTCATCAGTGCTTGTGGTGGGAAGAAAAAGGGAAAGAGAGAGAGTGCGAGTGCAAGCCCTGCCCAGGCCTGGGGAGCGTCTTCCCCTGGGAGGGCTCAGTTCATCAGGTGCCCAGGAGAGTGGTGTGAGGGGAGGTGCCTTTTGTGCCAGAGAGAGATCCGCAGACTGCTATCTACGTGGGGACCGGCCTGCCTGTCTGGCCTTGGAACTGCCTGCTGCGCCGGCCTGAACTACCCTCTCCTTCTTTCTTTCAATGCTCGCACACCTGCAGACGCACAGACGGACTGAGACACCATAAATTAAACAAAATTAACAGGTACATGCTACAGTTCTAACTTGTCTCCTAAACCTCCAAGATATGAGGTCTGATCAGCGTGCTCTGCGGTTAGAGGTTAAAAAGCAGATTATAAAATACCTAGATTCGGATCTTTTCTTCTTCTTCTTCTTCTTTTTTTTTTTTTTTTTCTGTCCTGATTTGGCCTAGAATGGAGTGTATTAAACAAACCCTGGTCTGCAAAACCCAGGGTCAGTTAAAGCTATCCGTTGATGTGCACTACACGTCAGGGTTCTATTCACGTACAAGAAAACACTATATGTCAGCTACCACAAAATCAGAGTTTCCTGATGTGACGTCTTCTTTTTCTTAAAAAATATGTGGAGTAAATGTGTTTTATTTTAATTCAAAGTTTCAAACGACATTTCTTTTCTTGAAAATATTTAGGAATCCAAACTAGTGTGTTTAGAGTCGTTTTGACTGTGCAATCTCTTAGTGGCAACTGAACAGCTACAAAAACTTTCTTTTTTAATTTTTCTGAAAAATCCCACGCCCCCCCCCCCTTTTTCCTGGTTTAAGAAGATAATAGTGTATTATCGCTCTGAAGCCATTAGATGGCAGATAAAAAGCCCCCTTTTAATATGTGGGTTTGATTTTTTTTTTTTTTTTAAAGCCCACACGGAACAGGAGGACACAAGGCAAAGCTGTAAGAGTTATTCCCGAAGCTGTGGAAATCACTTAGGGCAATAAAAAAAACACTTCAGGGTACAAAAAAGCTCGACCACACATTTCTGTTTTCTTCCTTGAAAACACGACATAGATTGGGCTTAATGCTCCTTTGTTTTCTATATGCACCTTGGCCTATGGCGATTTTGCCCTGTGGCCCGCAGGGCGGTAAGTGCGCGACGCGGTCCGGGCCGCGGGCTGGGTCTGGGCCGTGGGGTCGGTGGAGGCCGCGGGGTCGGCCCAGGCCTTGGGCTTGGATCTGGACCTCGGGGTCGGTGCAGGCTGTGGACCGTGGGCTGGGTCTGGGCCGCGGGCTCAGGTCTGGCCCCGGGGTGGGTGCGGACCGCGGGTCGAGCCCGGGCCACGGTGCCCGCGGCGCGTGCCCCGTCGGGCCCGTCCAGGCCTTCGCGGCGCGGCCCAGCTGCCCGCCCCGGGGCCGCGGCCCCTCAGAACTCCCATTCGATCGGCTCCTCCCGGCTGGCGGCCTTCTCCAGGCGGTGGATGATGCTGTTCAAGTTCGCCGCCTTCTTCTTGCGCAGGGGGTTGTCGCGCGAGTCCCGGGCGCCCGCGGCCTCGGGGAGGCCGAAGAGGCTCTGCAGCGAGCTGGGCCTGCGGGGGGCGCTGCTGCCGCCGCCGCCGCTGCTGCTGCTGCTGCTGCTGCTGCCGCTGCCGGGCGGCGGCGCGGAGCTCGGGGCCGCGGGGCCCTCGCCGGGCGGGGCGGCGGCTGAGGTAGCGGCGTCCTCGGGGGCCGCGGGCGCGGCGGTGGCGGTGGCGGTGGCGGTGGCGGGGCTGGGCAGGGGCTCCGGGCCGTCCGCGGGGCCTCCCTCGTGGTCGTCGTCGCGGGCGTCGTCCGGGCCCGGGGTCCCCGAGGGCAGCGGCTCCGTCTGCTCCGCCGGCCGCGGCGCCTCCTCCCGCTCCGCCTCTCCCTGAGACTTGGGCTCCTCAGTGTCGGCGCTGCCCGGGCCCTCGGGGGCCTCCACGCCGTCGCAGCTGTCGCCCTCCGAGCTAGGCGCTGCCCGGCCGCTGCGGGCCGAGGGGGAGTCGCTGGCGCCCGCCTGGCCCTGGCTCCCGGCCTGAATTTCCTCAATGAACAGTTCTCTGCGGATCCGAGACCTACGAGACACAAGCAGCGGGGCCGTGAAGCGGGGGCGCCGCTGGGGACAGGGCCTCTGGCACCGCCGCGACCAGAACCCCCTCTCCCGGGCTTCCGCTGCCTCCAGCCTGGAGGCCCCTCCTGCCTCTACAGCGACCCTTGGGCCACCGGGCAACCACTCTCCGGAGTCACTGCCCCCGGGCTATGCCGGGAGCCCACAAGCTGAGCCTCTGAGTGAGCCATCCCCGGGGTGGGACACCACTCCCCTCTTCTCCACTGCGACAAAGCGCCACCGGCATTTATTTAAGACAGAATTTCGCTCCTGTTGCCCACGTGGAGTGCGGTGGCGCGACCTCGGCTCACTGCAACCTCCCTCTGCCGGGTTCAAGCGATTCTCCTGCCTCAGCCTCCTGAGCAGCTGGGATTACAGGCGCGCACCACCACATTCGGCTAATTTTTGCATTTTTAGTAGAGATGGGGTTTCGCCACGTTGGTCAGGCTGGTCTCAAACTCCTGACCTCAGGTGATCCTCCCTCCTCCTCAGCTTCCTAAGGTGCTGGGATGACAGGTATGAGCCACTGCACCTGGCCACTTATTTTTCAAAAACCTTTTTGAAACAAGGTCTGGCTCTGTCACCCTGGCTGAGGGCAGTGGTGCCATCACAGCTCACCATAGCCTCTAACTACTGGGCTCGTGATCCTCCCATCTCAGTCTCCCGAGTAGCTGCTAGGACCAGAAGTGTGTCACTATGCTTGCGAATGTTTAAGTTTTGTATAGAGATTTTTTTGCCCAGGCTGGTCTGGAGGCTCCTGGGCTCAAGCAGTCTTCCTGCCTGGGCCTCCTCAAGTGCTGGGATTACAGGCATGAGCCACCACTTCTGGCCAGGGCTCTTACTGAATGGCACTTCCTCCATCCCATCCCACCCGCTCCAACTAGACGGAGAAAGGCAAGGTCCCATTCATTCTTTGCACACTCCGGCCCTGCACTGGTGCCTGGCGTGCAGTCATGAAGGCTGGCTGAATTCACCAATGAAACTGCTCGCTGACCGCTGGACCCTCACCAGGACTTCAGGAGACAGAACCAATTATTGGACCAAGTGACAGTTTTAATTTCTGAGCCACAGAAGGTCAGGTTGGTTGGGGGCTTGTACAGGGTAGGGTGGAATTCCACCAAAGTCTGTATTTTCTCCTTTTCTCTTTTTCTTATTTTACTCAAAGGCAGTGTCTTGCTCTGTCTCAGCAGACAGATAGCTATGTTATCATAGCTCCCTGCAGCCTCCACTTTCTGGGTTCAGGTGATCCTCCTGCCTCAGCCTCCTGAGTAGCTAGGACCACAGGTGTGTGCCACTGTGCCTGGCTAATTTTTTAAATTTTGTAGGGAGAGGGTCTCATGATTTTTCTCAGGCTGGAGTGCAGGGGTACAATCATAGTTTACTGCAACCTCGTCCTCCTGGGCTGAAGTGATCCTCCTGCCTTGGCCTCCCAGAGTATTGCTATTACAGGTATAAGCCACCAAGCCCAGCCAATAAGGCTTTCTGAGGCCAGGTGTGGTGGCTCACACCTGTAATCCCAGCACTTTGGGAGGCTGAGGAGGGCAGACTGCTTGATGCCCAGCATTTGAGACCAGCCTGGCCAACATGGTGAAATCCTGTCTCTACTAACAATAACAAAACTTAGCTGGGCATGGAGGGGCACACCTGTAATCCCAGCAACTCAGGAGGCTGAGGCAGGAGAATCGCTTGAACCTGGGAGGCAGAGTTTACAGTGAGCTGAGACTGTGCGACTGCACTCCAGTCTGGGTGACAGAGCAAGACCCTGTCTCAGGGAAAAAAAAAACAAAAACGTTTTCTGGGTGCCTACTCTGTGCTGGGCCCTGTGCTGGCTGTGGGGTCTCCCCTGGGGAGGATTCCACTGTAGCTCAGCCCAGGGTGTCAGACTCTGGCGGGGTGCAAGGGATTGTGAATCTGCTGTGTAGTTCTTTGGTTCCTGTGTGCAATGAGTGAGGAACCTTGTCCTGAAAGGTTTCTGAGCTCTGGTTCAGAAAGGAAAAGTTCTGAGAAGCCCCTCAGAGGTTCTAAGGTGTCTTAAGTCTTTCCCCCTTCCCGGGGGCTATTTTGGGAGCTGGGGAAATGGTGGTTTCTGTGAATAGGTTCCTGGACTCTGTGGCTTTCAAGCTCCTTGGCAGAGAGACTGCTAGTTGGGGTGAAACCCTCCACCCCACCCACTTTGGTGGGGGAGGTGGGAAGCTAGATGGGTAGTGAAGGTTTGGTCCCAGCCAGACCCAAAACAAGAGTATAGGCGTTTTGGAAGCAGGCACACCTGGGTTGGCTGCTTACTAACTGTGCACCTTGCACAAGTTGGTTAACCTCATAGGGATGGCACTCTATGAGAAACAAGAAAACTTCAGTCTTCTTTTTTTTTTTTTTTTTTGAGAGAGAGTCTCACTCTGTTGCCCAGGCTGGAGTGGAGTAGCATGATCTCACCTCACTGCAACCTCTGCCTCCTGGGTTCAAGCAATATTCCTGCCTCAGCCTCCTGAGTAGCTGGGATCACATGGTGCCTGTCACCATGTCTGGCTAATTTTTTGTATTTTTGGTAGAGACGTGGTTTCACTATGTTGGGCAGGCTGGTCTTGAATGCCTGACCTCGTGATCCATCCGCCTCGGCCTCCCAAAGTGCTGGGATTCAGGTGTGAGCCACTGTGCCCAGCCTTGTTTTTTTTTGAGACAGAGTCTCATTCTGTCGCCAGGCTGGAGTGCAGTGGTATGATGTTGGCTTACTGCAACCTCCACCTCCTGGGTTCAAATGATTCTCCTGCTTCAGCCTCCTGAACTGGGACTATAGGCATGTGCCACCACACTTGTCTAATTTTTTGTATTTTAGTAGAGACCGGGTTTCACCATGTTGGCCAGGCTGGTCTTGAACTCCTGACCTCAGGTGATCCACCCGTCTCAGCCTTCCCAAGTGCTGGAATTACAGGCTGTGCCCAGCCTAGCCTGAGATACTTCTATTTCCCTTTAGCCTGAGATATTCCTAATTCCCTTAAAGTGAACGGATAGGAAGAAATAAAACTTTGTTTTTTTTGAGGGAGCAAAAACTGACACCAAATGTTATTCCCCGAGGGTTCCACTGGGGCATGAGGAAAGAAAATCAGCTTTTCCTGTTCACCTCCCGAGAAAAGAATGTAAAAAACTACGTTCTTGGTTAGGGATTTAACACATCCAGTGTGCGGGAAGCTGCGGTGGGGAGGATGGCGGGCTGATCTGTATGAAGCATTTAGTGAAATAACCAAAACCTTGGAGAAAACAGTCAGTTTGCATCTCTGCTCTGCCCCTGGCCTGCTGGGTGGGTGGTTTTATTTTTTGAGACGGAGTTTCACTCTGTTGCCCAGCCTGGAGTGCAATGGTGTGATCTCTGCTCACTGCAACCTCCCCCTCCTGGGTTCAAGTGATTCTCCTGCCTCAGCCTCTGGAGTAGCTGGGTTTACAGGCATGCACCACCATACCTAGCTAATTTTTGCATTTTTAGTAGAGATGGGGTTTCTCCATGTTGGCCAGGTTGGTCTCAAAGTCTCGACCTCAGGTGATCCACCCACCTTGGTCTCCCAAAGTGCTAGGATTACAGGCATGAGCCACCATGCCCGGCCCTGCTGGGTCATCTTATACAAGCGACTTCATGCCAATACTGAACGCTCACTTCTCCTTCATTTATTTTTATTATTTTATTATTATTTTTTTTTTGGTAGAGACAGGGGCTCACTATGTTGCCTAGGCTGGTCTTGAACTCCTGGCCTCAAGCCATCCTCTTGCCTCCACCTCCCAATGTATAGGGGTTCTAGGCACGAGCCACTGAGCCCCGCCCTTCATTTCTCCTTCCACCTGTTTTGTTGCTTATAAAATTCTTCTCTACTCCAATCCGCCTTTCAAGACCCTGCTCATCTCAGACCTCGTCCATGACTTTTTCCAGATCTCTGCAGCTAAAACTCATCTCTTGGATCCCATGTTTGACTCAACCCAGCCTGCTTTGTTGAGGAGTTATTTTTGAAAGGAATTCATTTGTTAATTGTTCACACTAGATCCAGACCGGAGATTCATTTATTTCTTTGAGGCAGAGTCTCACTGTGTCACCCAGACTGGAGTGCAGCGGTGTGATCCTGGCTCACTGTAACCTCTGCCTCACAAGTTCAAGCGATTCTCCTGCCTCAGCCTCCTGAGCAGCTGGGGTTACAGGGACGCGTCACCACGTGAGGCTAATTTTTGTATTTTTAGTAGAGACGAGGTTTTGCCACGTTGGCCAGGCTGGTCTCGAACTCCTGACCTCAAGTGATTCACCTGCCTCGGGCCTCCCAAAGTGCTGGGATTGGGCTAGAGCCACTGCACCCGGCCTAGACCTGTAATTACTAAATTTTATGTACTAAGTTTTGAGGTCCTACTGGTATTCTTCTTCTTTCCCCGTCTCTATCTTTCCCACAAGTGTACCATTAAATCTGCTGGTGCTAAAATGCACAAAAGAGGCATCTCCACAGTGATACAGACTATACAGTGTGATGGGTATGGACTGGTTGTCAGAAGACCAGCAAGACGAGCAGCAAATGGAGGAACCCGAGGGGGTGTAACCTGGCCAGTAGGCAGTGGCTGCCCCACACCTAAGGCCTGTTGGGGGACTTGGGAAACAAACGTGGCCCCAGCAGGGGCAGGGAACATGGTTTTGGAGCTGTCTGTCTAAGTGCTAGCATCTATGCCAGAGGGTAACATGGGGCTTTGCATGCATCTGTATTAGAGAGAGTTATCACACATGCCTAAGACGGACCGGACTTGCAGGATACTTCCAAGTGCATGCACCTTTGTGGCTAGAAAGTGGAAACGGTGGCTAGGCTCAGTGGCTCACGCCTGTAATCCCAGCACTTTGGGAGGCCGAGGCGGGTGGATCACCTGAGGTCAGGAGTTCAAGACCAGCCTGGCCAACATGGTGAAACCCAGTCTCTACTAAAAATACAAATAATGAGCCAGGTGCGGTGGCGTGTGCCTATAATCCTGGCTACTCAGGAGGCTGAGGCAGGAGAATTGCTTGAACCTGGGAGGCGGAGGTTGAAGTGAGCTGAGATGGAGCCACTGAACTCCAGCCTGGGTGACAAAGGGAGACTCCCAACTCAAAAAGAAAAAAAAAAAAAAGGAAGTGGAAGTGGGATGACAGGGCACCCAGCCAGGAGAGGCTCCAGGAAACCCCTGTCCACATCCCCTTCATTTCCTTCATTCTGCTTCATTCCTTCCCAGGAGAGGCAGCTGCACTGTTCTATCTGCTGCCCCCTCTGCCTCTGTTTTGCTCAGATTGCTAAATTTGGCCTGAAGAAACTGGCTGTGCAGCTCCTGGACTTTCTTTCTTTTTTTGAGACAGGGTCTGGCTCTATCACTCAAGACTGGAGTGCACTGGTATGATCTCAGTTCACTGCAACCTCCGGCTCCTGGGCTCAAGTGATCTTCCCACCTCAGCCTCCTGAGTAGCCAGGGCTACAGGCATGTGTTACCATGCCTGACTAAGTCTGGACTTTGTCCTCATGGGAGGCAGATCACACATGGGGATGCCTGTTCTGGGGCAGGGCTGCCACCGTGGGGAACTTTGCCTGGGTCTAGGGTCCATGTAGCAGGTGTGCTCAGCTCTCACAATGAGCAGCATCTTGTGACTTTGCCTTTATGGGCAATAAAGGTGTGATTTGGGCTCCCACCTAATATTTAAAAAGTTCCCAATTTGTTGAGAGCCTGGGTGGTTTACTGGGCCCCTTCAGGAATTCCAGCGGACCTTATGGGGGAGGACCCGGTGAGACACACGGCTTCCCCTCCAGCCTGACTGTGACCTGTGCTGTGACTGTGTCAGGTGCACAGCTGGGATGGCCCACTGCCATCAGCTACACCTGCATATGATCACCTTGGTTGAACCAGGCGCGCCTACCCCAGTATTATTGTGCCCTAAGAAAAATGGGAAGCAGCAACTGAGATGGTAATTGGCAAGGGACTAGCTTAGGGATTTCCATCAGGTCCCAGAAGTCTTGCTTTCTAGCGCTAGAGAGTGTGGTTATAGCTATGATCAGCAACTCAGCATCCGTCAGTGGGTTTCCTGGATCGACTCCAAATACTTCATCCCAGCCTACTTTGTTCTACCAAGACAGCACTGGGCCCTGACCTCCTTAGCTCCTCTGAGTTTGGTATTTTTCATCTGTAGAATGAAGAGAACTGGCCAGGTGCGGTGGCTCATGCCTGTAATCCCAGCACTTTGGGAGGCTGAGGTGGGCAGATCACCTGAGGTCAGGAGTTCAAGACCAGCCTGGCCAACATGGTGAAACCCCATCACCACTAAAAATACAAAAATTAGCCGGGTGTGGTGGTGGATGCCTGTAATTCCAGCTACTTGGTAGGCGGAGGCAGGAAAATCACTTGAACCTGGGAGGTGGAGATTGCAGTGAGCTGAGATCGCGCCACTGTACTCTAGCCTGGGCAACAAAGTGAGACTGCCTCTCAAAAGAAAAAAAAACACCAAGAGAATATGGTTTCTCATACACAGTTCTGAGCTGTGAGGATTAAGTGATATAACTCGGTGAAACACTTAGCTCAGAATCTGAGATCTAGAAGATACTCAATCTGTCTTCATTAACTCATGAACTTTCCCAAAAGCACAGGTCTTAAATGACTTAATTTATTTAACTACAAAACTAATCAAACTAATTTGAAAGATAACATGGCAGAAGACCCAGAGAAAGCATTATAAAATCACTAAGAAATAAAAGTTCAGGCCAGGTACGGTGGCTCATGCCTATAATCCCAAGGCTTTGGGAGGCTGAGGTAGGAGGATGGCTTGAGGCCAGGAGTTTGAGACCAGCTTGGGCAACACAGTGAGACCCCTATCTCTATAAAAAGTCAGCAGGCATGGTGGTGCCTTGGTGTCTTAGCTATTCGGTAGGCTGAGGTGGGAGGACTGCCTGAGCCCAGGAGTTCGAGGCTGCAGTGAGCTATGATCGTACCACTGCAACTAGCCTGGGTGACAGAGCAAGCCCTGTCTCTAAAACAAAAAACATGTACACACACACCACACACACACACCACACACCACACACACACACCACACACACACCACACACACACACCACACACACATACCACACACACACCACACACACCACACACACACACCACACACACCACACACACACACCACACACACACCACACACACACACCACACACACACCACACACACACACCACACACACCACACACCACACACACACCACACACACCACACACACACCACACACACACACCACACGCACACACACCACACGCACACACACCACACGCACACACACCACACGCACACCACACACACACCACACACACACACCACACACACACCACACACACACCACACACACACACCACACACCACACACACACCACACACACACCACACACACCACACACACACCACACGCACACCACACACGCACACACCACACGCACACACCACACACACCACACGCACACCACACGCACACACCACACACACCACACGCACACCACACACACACCACACACACACACCACACACACACCACATACACACACCACACACACCACACACCACACACACACCACACACACACCACACCACACACACCACACACACACACCACACACACCACACATACCACACACCACACACACACCCCACACACACACACACCATACACACACAGAATATGTATGTGTATATGCACTCAACCACAGAAGTTTCACTCCTCTTGAACCATGAATATCTATTCTCTCCCTTATTAAATGATGTAACTGAGAGGTGATTTTCCTTCTGGGTCATGGCAGATACCACCTGTCTAACTATGTGACAGTGACTAGATGGGACATGGCCTTATATCTCTGGAGTTAAAACCTCCAGTAAAACCTAAGGAATCGCCAGGTGCTGTGGCTCACGCCTGTAATCCCAGCACTTTGGGAGGCCGAGGTGGGTGGATCACCTGAGGTCAGGAGTTCGAGACCAGCTTGACCAACACAGCAAAACCCCATCTCTACTAAAAATATAGGAATTAGCCGGGCATGGTGGCACATGCCTGTAATCCGAGCTATCTAGGAGGCTGAGGCAGGAGAATCACTTAAACCCGGGAGGAAGAGGTTGCAGAGACCTAAGATTGTGCCATTGCACTCCAGCCTGGGCAACAAGATTGAAACTCCATCTCAAAAGGAAAAAAAAAACCTACGGGACCAATGAACCGACCAATGACTGAGCTCCCAGCCCCTGGAGCATTACCCCTGTGCGTCACGGCGGCTCAGGAGAGATTGGCCCCTTCCCCAGGCCAATCGGTTGCTCCCTGGGACCCGGCGTACCTGTAATTGTGAAACCAGTTGATGACCGTGCTGGTTTTCAGGTTAAGCTGGGTGGCGAGGTCTTCGATGGTTTTTGGTGACGGGTATGGCTTTTGTTGATACGCTCGTTTCAGGGCCTCCTTCTCCTCAGGGGCCAGCACCACCCGGGGTTTCTTCAGCTGGTGCTGGGGCTGGGGGCTGGCGCCCTGGCTGTACTCGGTGCCGACGGAGGGTGGCTCGCAGGGCTGAGTGTCACTGACTGAGCTGTGCCGCCGCTTCATGTAGGCTGGGGAGGGAGAGATGGCAGACTGAGGTCAGGCCCAGCTGGGACAGCAGCCCCAATCCCCGGTCCCCGCTAGTGGGATGGCATAGTGCCAGCTTGCAGGACTTTGCACAGAGCATCTCAAAACACTAAGATAAGGCCGGGCGTGGTGGCTCACGCCTGTAATCCAAGCACTTTGGGAGGCCGAGGCGGGCAGATCTCTTGAGGTCAGGAGTTCAAGACCAGCCTGGCCAACAAAGTGAAACCTCATCTCTACTAAAAATATAAACATTAGCTGGGCATGGTGGTGGATGCCTGTAATCCCAGCTGCTCGGGAGGCTAAGGGAGGTGAACTGCATGAACCCAGGAGGTGGAGGTTGCAATGAGCTGAGATCGTGCCACTGCACTCCAGCCTGGGTGACAGAGCAAGAGTCCATCTCAAACAAAACGAAAAACACAGCATGAAGATGAGAGCCATTCTGTCACCAGCACACGCCCACCAAGGACCTGCTGTGATGGAATGTGAGATCCTCATCTGTCCCTGCACCACTTAACAGTTAAGTGGGGGATGCAGAGAAGTATCCAGAGAGATGTTCACAGCAAGTGAAAAGTGGGGTGAGGTAAGTGCAAGGGAGTGTGAGGATACTGAGAAGACTTCCTCCGCCAGGCCTGGGGAGGGGCAGGGGAAGTTGCTCAGAAGAGATGACTTTTTTTTTCTTTTTAAATAAAAGACAGGGTTTCACCATGTTGGCAGGCTGGTCTTGAACTCCCGACCTTAGGTGATCCGCCCAACTTGGCCTCCAAAGTGCTTGGATTACAGGTGTGAGCCACCACACCCGGCCAGAGATGACATTTAAACTGTACCTTGAAGGACACTGCCAGGCATGGTGGCTCACGCCTGTAATCTATGCACTTTGGGAAGCTGAGGTGGGAGGATCGCTTGAGCCCAGGAGCTGGAGACCAGTCTGGAGAACATAGCAAGACCCTGCCCCGACAAAATATTTAAAAATTAGCCAGGTGTGGTGGCGTGCACCTGTAGTTCCAGCTCCTCAGGTGGCTGAGGCGGGAAGATGGATAAGCCCAGAATGTGGAGGCTGCAACAGTGCACGACAGCTGCGCCGCTACTCTCTGTAAAAACAAATGGGGGCCAGGTGCAGTGCTCATGCCTATAATCCCAGCACTCCGGGAGGCCGAGGTGGGCGGATTACAAGACCATCCTGGCCAACATGGTGAAACCCCACCTCTACCACAAATACAAAAAAATTAGCCGGGCGTGGTGGTGCATGCCTGTAATTCCAGCTACTTGGGAGGCTGCGGCAGGAGAATTGCTTGAACCTGGGAGGTGGAGGTTGTAGTGAGCTGAGATCACACCACTGCCCTCCAGCCTGGGCAACAAGAGCAAAACTCCATCTCAAAACAACAACGCCAACAACAAAAGCCAATTTAGGCAAGGGAGTTCTTTAACTAGGAAGCAACTGAGAAAGTAAATCTTCCCCAGAGAAAACCAAAACAGCGGAGTCAGAGCTGCTGGATCTAGAGAAAGGGGTTGGATCCCTCCAGCTCCCTCCCAGGGGACAGATGACTGGCCAAGGTCTGGTGGGAGCAGAGGCATCGTGGGATGGAGGAAGGGCTACAGGGCTGTGCCCGACAGGCTGGGCACCTGGTCCTCCAAGGGGGTGGAAGAAGGCCTGTCTAGGGAACAGCCCTTGTGGCCAGCACCCCCAGGAGTGAAGAGAAGGCCCTGGGACCACAGCGGCTTTGGAGGCTCTGGGCATCTTTGGAAGGGTCTGGGTGGTGCAGAAACAGTAACTCATTTGTAACACAAGAGGGCGCCCTGAGCCCGTGCAGAGGGAAAGATGGGGACCTGGGAAGCTCTGGAGATGTATCTGGGGGGACTAAGGTCCTTTCCTACCAGCCCAGGGTGAGAAACACAGCAGGCAGTGGGGCTGTCAGGGCCTCCTCCCTCCTGAGGGCGAGGGCTGCCTCCTGGCGAGTGCAGGAAGCTTCACGCTGCTTGGGTGAGGGGAGATAACAGGAGACTCGCACGGATATATTGGGTTTTCTCTCCTTTTGTTTATGTTGGAAATTTCCCATAATAAGATGTTGAAAGGGCCAGGTGCAGTGGCTCATGCCTATAATCCCAGTGCTTTGGGAGGTCAAGATGGGAGGATTGCTTGAGGCCAGGAGTTCAAGATCAGCCTGGGCAATATAGGGAGACCTTGTCCCTTTAAAAAAAAAGAAAAACGGAAAGGAAGTTGAAAACTTTTGGGGGGGCAATGAGGCACCAGGCCTCTGCAGCTTACAGTGCTGCCTTCGATACCGTAGAGCCTTAGACTACACACCCGAGGGCAGGCCAGAGCCCACCAAAGGGGCCCTGAATGGGGCAGAGGCCACCACCTGGGCAGGTCATCAGTGGGCAGCAGCAGCGCCCTGGGTTCCAGGAGGGCAGCTCACAGCAGAGAGGCAGCAGATGTATGTTTAAGATCACCTGCTTTGAAATCCAACAGCCCTGAGTTTGAATTCCTGCTCCCTACTGAGAACAGCTATTGAAATCTGCTAGGCTGCATGAGGCCCCAAGGTTCATATTTATTTCCTGGATAAGGACATTTACATAGGACAGAGAGTCATGTGGATGGAGAGCAGTCTTAACACCGTGTCCGGCAAACAGGGCAGTTCGCAGAAAATAGAAGCCTCTTATTATGATAAAGGAACCCTCACAGGTTTCCTGAAAGAGGCACCAGAGACTCTCTCTCCTTCTGCAGCCCTTTCCTGAGTTGGGTGAGAAAGGTGATGCTTGGCTGCAATTTCTGGGTGAATTAAGAACCGACAGCCCTGAGTTCCGTACCCACCCCTGGCTTAGATGCTGTGTGTGGGTGGGGTGGGGTGGGGCAGAGCCCCTCAGGAGCCTGGGATGCCCAGTCTTTATTTTTATTTTTTTGAGATGAAGTCTTGCTCTGCTGCCCAGGCTGGAGTACAGTGGCGTGATCTTGGCTGACAGCAACCTCCTCCTCCTGGGTTCAAGTGATTCTCCTGCCTCAGCCTCCCCAGTAGCTGGGATTACAGGAGTGTGCCATGATACCTGGCTGATTTTTGTATTTTTCAATAGAGACAAGGTTTCACCATGTTGCCCAGGCTGGTCTCAAACTCTGGACCGCAAGTGATCCACCCACCTCGGATCACAAAGTGCTGGGATTACAGGCATGAGCCACTGCGCCCGGCTCTTGGGATGCCCACTCTTAGTTAAGATTCTCTACGTGAGCTGATGATGGAGGGTGGGCACCACTTTTTTTTTGAGATGGAATTTTGCTCTTGTTGCCCAGGCTGGGGTATAATGGCAGGATCTCAGCTCACTGCAACCTCTGCCTCCCATGTTCAAGCGATTTTCCTGCCTCAACCTCCCAAGTAGCTGAGATTACAGGCAGCTACTCGGCTAGTTTTGTATTTTTAATAGAGACAGGGTTTTTCCATGCTGGTCAGGCTGGTCTTGAACTCCTGACCTCAGGTGATCCAACCACCTTGGCCTCCTAAGGTGCTGGGATTACAAGGGTGAGCCACCGTGCCTAGCTTGTTATGGTCAGACCAGCAGCAGCTGGTTCCCGGTCTCTGCCTCTGAGGGATGCATTCAGCCGCCCAGTCAGCTCCCAGCACTGTGGGTGACCTGAGGACTGAGGGTTCCTGAGGGGCAGACTCACTGGTGAGGACCAGATTTTAGGAACTGCAAACCACGAGGCACAGCACACCTGGCTTTGGGCACTTTTCCTACGCTGAACCCTGCAGGCTGCAAGAAGAATGCGAATCCACATTCAAGCTGACATGTGGGTGCATGTGGGGTTATCCCTTTAGGGAGACTGGATCCCCAGAGGCTGGAAAATAACAGCGGGAGAGAGATCAGTGTGGCAGGAGTTTGCTCTGTCACTTTCCACACCGGGTGACCTTGGTGGAGGCAATGAACCTCTCTGAACCTCTGTTTCTTGATCTACAAAATGCAGGTTTTTTTTTTTTTTTTGAGATAGGGTCGTGCTCTGTCATCCAGGCTGGAATACGGTGGCTCAATCTCTGCTCACCACCTCCGGGGTTCAAATGATTCTTGTGCCTCAGCCTCCCAAGTAGCTGGGGTTACAGAGGCACGTGCCACGTTGCCTGGGTAATTATTATTTTTTTTAGTAGAGACAGGGTTTTGCCACGTTGACCAGGCTGGTTTTGAACTCCTGACCTCAAGAGATCTGCCTGCCTCAGCCTCCCAAAATGCGGAGATTACTGGCATGAGCCACCATGCCGGGCCTACAAAATGCATTTCTTAATTCTCTCTCTGGTAACAAAGGAAAGCCTCCAGCCGCATGGCACATGCGCAGTAAATGCTGTAATAGCCGGATCAGCCACCCACACAACACAAAAACGAAACGCAGCACCCCCAGCGCTGTTCCGATCTCCTTGGTTAAAAGTGCTCCCAGTGCTAAAAAAGTCTTTAGATTCAGGCTGCTGGAGACAGAAAGTTACAAACATTTCCAGCCCTCTTAGATACTCATTAGCTGATGACCATCAAAACATATTTTTTTTGCCCTGTCCTCCGGTGCCCTGGTCATGGGTCAGTCCCTCCATCAGCTGTGTGTGAAGGATTTGAGAGAAACAGCCTGTTTGTGAATGAGGACGCAGCCGGCCAGGGCGGAGCTGGGCGACTTACCTTTCTTCTCCATCCGTTTCATGTCCATCAGCTTCTCCACATTGTTGGGGTCGTTCAGCCACAGCTGCATCCGGACGAAGGGCTCCCGTCCTTTCAGACTGAGCTTATGCCAGGGTTTTGGGCGGGCAAGGAGGTCAGAGACAGAGCCTTGGGTGAGCCCTAAGATGGTTTCCCCAAACAAGCGCTGGCCTACAGAGAAAACAGAAGCGAGACAGCTATCATCACCGAGAGCCAGGGATCCGAGGGGACAAGTATATGTCACGGTTAAGATGCAGGACTTTAAAGGCCCAGCGTTGGGCTGGCGATGTCCTAGCTTACAGCAAGTGTGTGGTAGAAATACATTTTCAACCAGACTTCTAATATACTCTGCTGGCGAGGGAGCTGGCATTGCCCTTGCATTCTTCGTACACATAACTAAAGATGTTTCTCTCTTTTTCTTTTTTGAGATGGAGTCTTGCTCCGTCACCCAGGCTGGAGTGCAGTGGTGCAATCTCAGTTCACTGTAACCTCTGCCTCCCAAGTTCAAGTGATTCTTCTGCTTCAGCCTCCTGAGTAGCTGGGACTATAGGCACATGCCACCATGGCTGGCTAATTTTTGTATTTTTAATAGAGACAGGGTTTTGCCATGTTGGCCAGTCTGGTCTCGAACTCCTGACCTCAGGTGATCCACCCGCCTTGGCCTCCCAAAGTGCTTGGGATTGCAGGTGCCCAACCAATGATGTTTCTCTTAAGGATTCAGCTGGGTGTGGGGGCCAGAAGGGCCTCTGGGAGGCTGAGGCAGGAGGATCACCTGAGTTCAGGGGTTTGAGACCAGCCTGGGCAACACAGCAAGACTCAGTCTCTACAAAAATACACACACACAAAAATTAACCAGGTGTGGTGATACATACCTATAGTTCCAGCTACTTGGGAGGCTGAGATGGGAAGATTGCTCGAGCCCAGGAAGTTGAGGCTGCAGTGAGCTATGATTGCACTACTGCACTCCAGCCTGGGCAACAGAGAGAGACCGTGTCTCAAAAAAAAAAAAAAAAAGAAAGAAAAAGCCTTCAGGCTTTGTATGTGCTGAGGTCACGCTACCACCTGTGGCATTTCTCAAAGGCAGTGAAATGCCTAAGCCAGAGCTCAGGACGTCACACAACAAACAGGAGACCTCTCTCGGACAATCTTAAATCAGAGGGCAGCCTGCGTCTCCTTCTGCAATTAGCAAGGTTATCAGGTCTTGCTAAGAAAACAGGACACACAACCCACAATCACAGCTGGATGGAGGAGAGAGAGCTGCCCAGCTCTGCTTTGCTGAGAGGCAGGCCAATTCCAATTCCAAGGTTGGCTTTTGCCTTTGCTAAATAAAATAGCTGGAAGAGGATCAAAAGCCCTTCCCAAATACCTTTTCTTCTCCCAGGCAGGGAGAGGTAGCCCACTTCAGAGGCTGATCAGAGGACATTTCGCTCTGGAGAGCACAGCCGCATTGAATGGGCAATGCTTGCCGGGAGCTCAGAAAGGCTCACTTCTCTGAGGGCCATTCCGCTGCCGGTTTAGAGGTACAAATTGGGATCAGTGAGAACCTGATGGCCTGATGGGAGTACTTGAATGAACAGGACTTATTAGGTGGAAGTGGAGATTGGGATCAGTGGGGCCAGCGTTTAACCCCATAACGCGTACAGATCAGAGCACCTCTCCCGGTCTGGGGCAGGGAGGCGGCAGAGGGCTGGCTAGTTCTCTCTGCGGCTCACATCCTGTGAATCAGAAACACCCCACAGCAGCTTCTAAGAAGGGGCCTCCAAGTAAAAGATGACTGCCTGGAAAACTCTGAAGTTGAGAAATTAATTTCTTATTAGTGTTTTTTTATTTTCCTAAAGAAACAGGGTCTTGCTACATTGCCCAGGTTGGACTTGAACTCCTGGCCTCAAGCAACTGTTCCATCTCAGCGTCCTGAGTAGCTGGGATTACAGGTACGCACCACCCTGCCTGGCTTTGTCTTTTTAAACTCAAAGATAAATTTACTGATTTTTAAATCTGTGGTTTCTCTGCCTTTCAAACTCTCTCGCCTATAAATGTCCCAAGTCCTTATGATTTTTTTTTTTTGCAGTTGTTGTAAGTAAATTTTGTTTAATGCTAACATGGCGAACGAATCTATTTTCATTCCAAGGAGCTTGCTATCTTCAGGAAAGCAATAAATATGAATCACTACTTGCTTTTTGCTTCAGCCTCCCAGTTGAATGGGGGAAAAAACCATGATTATTCTTGGAAGATTATCTGTATGACTCTTAGTCCCAGCCATGACTTTTAATTTTAATTGCTTTTGGGCTACAGACCCCTTTGAGAACGTGAAGAAAGCTACAAACCCTCACCCAACATCGACGAAAACTCCACAATGACAGTGGCATGGGTGATAAGGCCAAGCATCAGATCTCAATGTTCGCAATCTTGTAACTGCGATCTTGCCACTTATCAGCGCTTAAAATGAGACTTTCCCCTGTAATCCCAGCACTTTGGGAGGCTGAGGTGGGTGGATCACTTGAGCCTAGGAGTTTGAGACCAGCTCGGGCAATATGGGAAACCCCATCTCTATAAAATTAGCCAGATTTGGGGGCGTGTGCCTGTGGTCCCAGCTACTCGGTAGGCTGAGGTGGGAGGACTGCTTGAGCCCAGGAGTTCAAGGCTGCAGGGAGCTGTCACGTGCTATGCACTCCATCCAGCCTAGGCCACAGAGCTAGACCCTCTCTGATTTTCAACATTTACATGAAATGCCACTTCCTGTACGGGGGTGGGTGGCAGTGATGCATCGGGCCTGCTTCCTTGGATGTGTGACAAGCTATGAAGTGAGAGGTGACTCAAGTCTAGGAATCCCTGCACATTTCAATAACTGATGAACACGTGGGACTTAGCCATTTTTTCAGATCAACAGCTACAGTCTATTTTTATGAACTGACTTAATTTACAAGGTCTCACTGATAGGACGACACTTTATCCCAGTCTGTTTGGTTGTCGCACCGTACAGACGACGGGTGGGAGGCTTCCAGTGGACAAGCTGGCATGACCCCTAGGCTATCAGATCATTGAGCAAACTTAAGTGGAAGTCAGCTACTCCCCCGCATTTTTTTTTTTAATTATTTTTTTGAGACAGTGTCTTGCTCTGTTGCCCAGGCTGGAGGACATGGCGCCATCATGGCTCAATGTTATCTTGACCTCCTGGGCTCCAGTGATCCTCCCAGTTCAGCCTCCCAAGCAGTCACCATGCTCGGATCTTTTCTTTTTCTTTTTTTTTTTTTTTGAGATGAAGTCTCGCTCTTGTCCCCTAGGCTGGAGTGCAATGGCATGATCTCAGCTCACTGCAACCTCCACCTCCTGGGTTCAAGCCGTTCTCCTGCCTCAGCCTCCTGAGGAGCTGGGATGACAGGTGCCTGCCACCACACCTGGCTAATTTTTGCATTTTTAGTAGACATGGGGTTTCACCATGTTGGCCACACTGGTCTTGAACTCCTGATCTCAGGTGATCCACCCGCCTCAGCCTCCCAAAGTGCTGTGATTTACAGATATGAGCCACCACGGTCGGCCCCCTTTTTTTTAAATTTATTTTTTCCAGAGACAGGGTCTCACTGTTGCCCAGATTGGGCTAAAACTCCCGACCTCGGGTGATCCACCCGCCTCGGCCTCCTGAAGTGCTGGGGTTGCAGGCCACCTGTCATCTTCAGGTGAGCCATGGTGCTCCACCTTCCTTTTCTTCTCATCCCATGGGAGAAGCGAAAGACACACAGGCCTTTCCATGAGTAGCAGACAAACTGCAACCACTTGGTAGGGTCGTGCTTGCATGCGCTGCGCAGAACGCTGCCCCTTTGACTTCCACCCTTGAAAAATAAGAAGGCTAGGCCCGGTGCGGTGGCTCACGCATGTAATCCCAGCACTTTGGGAGACCGAGGCGGGCAGATCACGAGGTCAGGAGATTGAGACCATCCTGGCTAACGTGGTGAAACCCTGTCTCTACTAAAAAGACAAAAAAATTAGCCAGACGTGGTAGCAGGTGCCTGTAGTCCCAGCTACTCGGGAGGCTGAGGCAGGAGAATCGCTTGAACCCTGGGAGGCAGAGGTTGCAGGGAGCCGAGATCCCGCCACTGCACTCCAGTGGGGCAACAGAGCGAGACTGTCTTAAAAATAAATAAATAAATAAAAATAAGAAGGCTAGAAAGGTGCGTTTCCACCCTTCACGTGCCTAAACCAGGGAACCCTGTCTGGTCAACGCTGCACTGCAGGAGCATGGTGGTTTAAAATGACGAGACAGGCTGGGCCGGCGCGGTGGCTCACGCCTATAATCCCAGCACTTTGGGAGGCCGAGGCGGGCGGATCACCTGAGGCTGGTTGGAGAACAGCCTTGGCAGCATGCTGAAACTCCATCTTAGCTAAAAGTACAAAAGTTAGCTGGGTGTGGCGGCGCGTGCCTGTAGTCTCAGCTACTCGGGAGGCTGAGGCAGGAGAATTCCCGGAACCCAGGAGGCGGTGAGCCAAGATTGTGACCCTGCATTCCAGCCTAGCGACAGAGAGAGACACTGTCTCAAAAAAAAAAAAAAAAAAAAAAAAAGGGGCCGGATGCCTGGCTCATGCCACACCTGTAATCCCAGCACTTTGGGAGGCTGAGGTGAACACCTGAGGTCAGGAGTTCAAGACCAGCCCGGCAAACATGGTGAAACCCTGTCTTGACTAAAAATACAAAAGATAGCTGGGTGTGGTGGCAGGCACCTGTAATTCCAGCTACTGGAGAGGCTGAGGCAGGAGAATCGCCTGAACCTGGGAGGCGGAGGTTGCAATGAGCCAAGATCGCACCACTGCACTCCAGCCAATTATGAAACACCGTAATATTCTTACATAATAGCAGCTGGTGAGTAGTGACACAGACCATAGACACCCACCCCAGCCAAGCTCCTGGGGGGTTGGAGCACATGCCTGGCCAAGGCCAGGTCTGACACATGGTGGGACAGCAGGGTGACAGACTGAGTTTCCCAGGGCTGCCTGCCTTGGTGGTGGGCTGTGAAATGGAGATGGCTTCCCTACACAGCAGGAACAGCCAAGATAAAATAAAAATGACTATTATGACTGGCCAGGGCTGGTGCTAGAATTGCTGCTACTCACAGCCCCCAGGCAGGCGTGGTTATTCCATTTCTGTGGAGGGGGATCTGATGATGGGGGCTGCCTGGCCAGCATCGCCGACTCAGTGAGCAGAGTGAGATCCAGGCCTGGCCCGTCAGACCTTCCACTAAACTGTCCTGGTGCTGCTGAGTGGACGCTGCCTAGCTCTAGAGCCCACTGAGGCTGCTGGGCTCCATTGGGTGCCTCTCTCTCTTTTTTTGAGACAGAGTCTCACTGTGTTACCCAGGCTGAAGTATATAGTGGCATGATCACAGCTCACTGCAGCTTAAAACTACAGGGCTCAAGTGATTCTCCTGCCTCAGGCCTGTGGGCACACACCACCACACCTGGCTAATTTTTGTAGAGACAAGAGTTTCACCATGCTGCCTAGGCTGGTTTCGAACTACTGGCTGGACTCAAGCAATCCTCTTGCTGTGGCCTCCCAATGTGCTGAGATTCCAGGCATGTGCACCATGCCTGGCCTAATTTTTAAATTTTTTATAGAGAAGGGTGTCTTGCTATGTTGCCCAGGCTGGTCTTGAACTCTTGGGCTCAAGTGATCCTCCCACCTTAGGCTCCTGAGTAGCTGGGACTATAGGTGCACATCAACATGTCCAGCTCATTTTAAAAGTTTATTTTGAGAGATAGGGTCTTGCTCTGTTGCCCAGGCTGGTCTCAGACTGTGGCCTCAAGAATCTGGCCTTACTCAGACCGTCTCTATTGAGATACATCCAAGCCAGGCACGATGGCTCATGCCTGTGATTCCAACAATTTGGGAGGCCAAGGTGGGCAGATTGCTTGAGGCCAGGAGTTCGAGACCAGCCTGGCCAACATGGCAAACCCCGTATCTACTAAAAATACAAAAAAATTAGCCAGGTGTGGTGGCAGGCACCTGTAATTCCAGCTACTCAGGAGGCTGAGGCACGAGAATCGATTGAGCCTGGGAGGCGGAGGTTGTAGTGAGCTGAGATTGTGCCGTTGTACTCCAGCCTGGGCAACAGAGCAAGATCTATCTCAAAAAAAAAGAAAAGAAAGCAAAAAGAAAGAGACAGTCTGAGTGGATCTTCCTGAGTCCACTCTGACCCCGTGCTCATCTTCTAAGGTCCCCGTCGGGGTGCAGGGTGGGGAGGAGGTGGGGACTGACCTGCAGAACTCACGCTCCTTACTGTTCACCACTATAGGGCATTTCATGCTCTTAGCGGGTGCCTACACAAGTTGAGACTCTGGCTGGCTCAGCCTGGGGCCCACCCCACCCTTCCCCCGCTCCTCCTGTAAACTCCCTATTGCCTCCTGACTCGGCACCCGAGAGGAGAACCTACCGAGGTTATTGTCCGTCAGCACCTCCTTCACCCGCTTGGTTATGCCGTAGGTGTCCAGCTCCGGGGACATGGCTACTAGTTCTTGGATGCTGAGGGCTGAGTGTCCGGAGAGAGGCAGCGGGGTTGCGGGCTGGGAGTCGGATGCTGGCGGGTCACTGGGCTCCGGTGGCTTGCCATCCTTGTTTGCCTCTATGGGGGGACAGGGCTGCTGGACCAGCTCGGTCAGGCTCTTCACCGACTCGCTGGAACTCATCGGGGACTCAGGGGCAGGGCTGCAGCTGGCGGAGGTCTTTGGAGTGCTTTCTGTAATTAAAGCACAGGAGAAACTGCGCCTGAAAATAGCTGTCTTTCACCGTGAACATCGACGTCCCTTATCTAGGAAATACTAATTAAATGCTCCGTAGGCGAAGCGGACGCTAGGGTTTTCTGTGGGTCTTCGTGAATGGTTTCATATTTTTGTGACTGAGAGTCACCTCTAATCTTCTGTATGCAAAAACAAAAATGACATCACTGGAAGAAAAACTAAGGGTTTAAAAGACAGGCTTTGGAAGGCTTAGCATGAGGGTATTCTGCTAAAAAACTATTAATCATGTCATCATTGTCACGGTTTCTTCTAACGAAACCCATCATTTGGTAATTCAGAAGCACTCTGGCTGGGTCATAACTTGTGTAGTTATCCTGTCCATATTTTCCAGAGCAAACAGCATAGACAGATTGTTTTAAATAATGTGTAGTCACATAATCTTATGAAGACCCTTAAGAGGAAACATGGCTGTGTGCAGTGGCTCACGCCTGTAATCTTTGGGAGGCTGAGGCAGGTGGATTACCTGAAGTCAGGAGTTTGAGACCAGCCTGGCCAACATGGTGAAACCCCATTTCTACTAAAAATACAAAAATTAGCTAGGCGTGGTGGCAGGTGCCTGTAATCCCAACTACTAAGGAGGCTTAGGCAGGAGAATCACTTGAACCCGGAAAATGGAGGAGGCAGTGAGCCGAGACTGCGCCACCACACTCCAGCCTAGGTGACACAGAGTGACACTCCAGTTTGAAAAAGAAAAAAAAAAATGAGGAAACATGGCCATAGCTTTTGGTCCCCAAGCACTGTGGGGCTCAGGACCTAGGGTGGTTTATTTTAATTTTTTTAGAGATGGGGTCTTGCTCTGTGGGCCAGGCTGGAGTGCAGTGGTGCAATCACAGCTCACTGCAGCCTTGACCTGGGCTCAAGCAATCTTCCCGCCTTGGCCTCCTGGGGAGCTGGGACCAAAGGTGCATGCCACCATGCCCAGCTGGTTTTTGGTTGTGAAGACCAGAGAACTCCACAGCACCCAACTCTAGAGGCGAGGGGAGGAGGAACAACCATCTGACTCCCAGCTCTTACATGTTAGAGTTCTACATCCAACCTCAGGACTTGCTCTGAAAACCAGGTTCTTTGCTGGCATAAGGCATGCCATGACTGACGCCGGAGGTGACAGGGTTGGTGTGGACAAGCCAGCGTCTACATTCTGCTCTGCCTTGCTGGCGTCGCTGTGAGTGCCCAGTGGGAAATACCAGCTGGGCTGTGTTGATGAGTGGTCCCTCTGGCCTATAATCTTACAGCAGCCCGTAAAACCTGATAAAAGAGGCTGAATTCCAGTTCTGGGATGCCTGGGATAAAGACTTTCACCATTCCCTGATTTCTGCAGATAGAAACTGTCCAAGAGGCAAAGTGGCTTCGTGCTGAGATCCTGCCAGAATCTCCTCTGGTCCAGCTCCGTGTCTTGGCACAATCCCTCCCCCCATGCCCACTGAGGTACACACAGGGTAAGACCCCACAGTGCCAGGTAAGAAGGCTCAGGCCATGCTCTCTGCTCCCAGGGTCTTTTAAAAAGCATTTTGTAGAGACGGGGTCTTGCTACGTTGCCCTCACTGATTCAAAATCCTGTGCTCAAGTGATCCTCCCATCGCAGCCTCCGAAGTAGCTGGGACTACAAGGCATGCACTACTAACACCTGCCTAGTTTTTTATTTTGTAGAGATGAGGTCTTGCTATGTTGCCCAGGCTGAACTCCCAGCCTCAAGTGATCCTCCCTTCTTGGCCTCTCAAAGTGCTGGGATTACAGGCATGAGCCACTCTGCCTGGCCAAGAGGATCTTACGCTTGCTCCTTCTCCCTCGGGCCCTGGAAGGTCACTCAGTCACTATCAGCACCAGAGTAGATACCCCAAAATACTTGTTACCTGGCTGAAAAGAAAATGGAGCACACAGTAGCAAGTTAATGTTAATTCAGCATTGAACTCGAGAGTCCGGACATACTGTATCCAGGACATACTAACCCTGCCGTAAAGACATTCCAAATACAAGGAGTATTTTGTATTCATATCTAGAAAGAGCCAAACCCCAAATAAAACAACGGCAACCTAAGCCACAGCCTGTGTATCATCCTGAACCCGCATAAACTTCCACCGTCGCATAAAGCTGTGTCCTTGACCTGGGAAATCAGGTTACAAACAGAAAAACACACGCCAAACTGGCTTTTGAAAGATGTAGAAGAGACAGGCGGAAGAGGCAGAAATGGTCCGTATAAATCTTTAGGGCAATGTGAATCTTACAAATCAGATTTCTTCTCTCTGCTCAACACCCCCCTGCTGCCCGGGCCACCAGAGAACTGGATATAAAAGTCCGCAAATGTTATTTTTATGTCTGAAGCCGGCAAAGGAATTGTACTGTAAGGGTGGCGTGATTCAGCCATGCGAAGGACCGGCCTGGCAGGTCATCCATCTTGCTCACCCGATACTGTCAAGGATGGCATGAATTCCCCAAATGATAAACAGATTTCAGGTTTTGTGTCCTTTAACCCACAGCAAGGTCAGCACCATGGCTGCCTGGCTAATAAACCGTGTGTGGCACGTCCCCGTTTTCTTCTGGGTGCTGGTGGAGGCAGAGCTCGCCGTGAAACTCACAGGCTGTGCTGTTCTTTCTTCCAGGGGCTCCCTGTGAGCCGGTGCCTGGATTTCTGCCATCATGGACCCCCAGGAGAACTAAACAGGGGCGCTCACTAGTGTTACAGGTATTTCTCTGTGCTCCGGGCTGCGACTGCACACAAAGGCAGGACCCCTGAGATCAAAGCCCTTTCTGAGCCCTGAAAGGTCCAGGCGTGTGAAAGTGTCACGTGGCAGCCGGTTGCTGGAGGTGGCTTGGATCTGTTTCTCTACTCTGGGTCTGAATCTAAAATGCAGAAGACCTTTGGGAGGCCAACGTGGTCAGATCACTTAAAGGCCAGGAGTTTGAGACCAGCCTAGCCAACATAGTGAAACCCCATCTCTACTAAAAATACAAAAACTGGCCAGGCGTGGTGGTAGGTGCCTATAATTCCAGCTACTGGGGAGGCTCAGAACATCACGTTGGGAAGAAAATCATTCTTTTTTTTTGAGATGGAGTCTTGCTCTGTCACCCAGGCTGGAGTGCAGTGGCATGATCTTGGCTCACTGCAACCTCGGCATCCTGGTTCAAGCAATTCTCCTGCCCCAGCCTCCCGAGTAGCTGGGACTACAGGCGCCTGCCACCATGGCTGGCTAATCTTTGTACTTTTAGTAGAGAAGGGGTTTCACCATATTGGCCAGGCCGGTCTTGAACTCCTGACCTCAGGTGATCCACCTTCCTTGGCCTCTCAATGTGCTGTGATTATAGGCATGAGCCACTGCACCCAACCCTTTCTTTTTTTAATTATTATTTTTAATTGCATGGAGCGGAACAAAGCTTGTTCTTTCAGAGAATATGGCTTTAATCACAGGGCTCCATGTGCTAATTTTTGGAAAAGAAGAAGTAATGTTTCTTTTCTATTGACCATATTTTGGACAGTGCACAGAGGGTCCCCTCAGCCTGGCCACCCCAACAGAGTGAGTCACTGCGCCCAGTCAAATGTGCTTGTTTCTATAAAGACCTACAGCCAACATAAATCTCATGACCGAGTGCTATTTCTCCCACAATGCCTGGCACATGAGAGACACGTGGGTGACAGACTTAGAAGGCCACATCCCATACAATGTGTTTATCTTTTTAAAGACATTCAACATTTTTTTAAATTTTAAAAAAGAGACAGGGTCTTGCTTTGTTGCCCAGGCTGGTCCTTGAACTCCTGGCCTCAAGTGATAAGTGCTGGGATTACAGGTGTGAGCCACTATGCCCAGCCACTTGCCACATTTTACGAAGGTAAGATATAGTGTTCCGGCCGGGTGTGGTGGCTCGTGCTTGTAATCCCAGCACTTTGGGAGGCTGAGGTGGACAGATCACCTGAGGTCAGGAGTTTGAGACCAGCCTGGTCAACATGGCGAAAACCCATCTCTACTAAAAATACAAAAATTAGCCAAGCGTGGTGGTGCGTGCCTGTAGTCCCAGCTACTCCAGAGGCTGAGGCAGAAGAATCGCTTGAACCTGGGAGGTGGAGGCTGCAGTGAGCTGAGATTGTGCCACTGTACTCCAGCCTGGGCAACAGAGTGAGATTGTCTCAAAAAAAAAAAAAAAGAAAAAAGGTGTCCCAAGACACACAGCCAGGAGCTAGGGGGATGGGCCATATTCTAAACAGCCCCTGTACACGTGGTGGTACCTGCATCCTGTACCCGAGTGTGTGTTAGTGACGGAGTGACGGTGCTGCCTGCCTTCCCGGGCACAGCTTTTCTACAACCCACATATCGACATGCGTGCATCTCCAAGACTTAAGGATGAGTCACAAAAAGCTGATCTACTCGTGGGACTGTGGAAGGGAACCAAAACACGTTTCATACCAGGCGTGAATGGAGCAGCGAGCTGAGGGCGTTTACACGTGGCTTCATTCAATCATCCTAACGGCCTTGGGGTGGAAATTTACACCCTGTATCCCAGGTGAGAAAACCGAGGCTCAGACAGGCAACCTGACTTGTCAAAGCCACACAGATGGTGCAGGGATCGGAACCAGATCAGGAGTTGGAAACCTCGATGGTTCTACCCATCCTGCTGTCTGCCAATCCCACGTGATTCCGAATCGCAGCCTACCATCATTCCTGTGTTATTTCACTCTCACTTTACTTTTTTTTTGAGACAGGGTCTTGCTCTGGTGCCCCAGCTGGAGCGCAGTGGTATGATCATGGCTCACTGCAACCTTGACCTTCTGGGCTTCAGAGAGCCTCCCACCTTAGCCTCCTTGCTAACGTATGACCGCAAGTAGCTGGGACCACAGGCGTGTGCTACCACGCTGGCTAATTTTTGTATTTTATGTAGAGAGATGGGGTCTTGCTATGTTGCCCAGACTGGTCTTGAACTCCTGGGCTCCAGCAAACCACCCATCTTAGCC